TTGAGCCTCAAGCGAAGTAAAGCAGGCACCTACGTTCTTGGCCACAATGGACATCACTTGGTCATCAACCACAAAGTCCCAGAGTCCATCCGAGGCAACCACTAGCCAAGTGGCTTCGCTGTGCTCCAAGCGATGGGGCTGCCAGTCATCAATACCAGCCCCATTGGGAGTGCAGATGACCACTGGTTTGCCGTCCGCCTTGACATCGATATCACCAAATCTAGACAGAGACAATGCAACGCCACAAAATGATTCGTGGCAAACACGCGCAACAGAGCCGCCGAGGAGAGGGGGGTCTCGCGGCCAGTGGAACGAGCTTGAAAGCACAGATCATTGGGAACAGTTGAGGTCATGAGCACTCACCCGCGGGAAGGGAAGAGGACACCGTACACACTGCCGTCGGGTGCAATTTTGCCACCAGCCGCCAATATCCGTTTGCGCTCCGACTTGAGATTCGTGCCATGTCGTTCATTGAGCTCGACTGGGTTGACACCATGTGTCTCATTGATCTGGAAAAGTAAGGCCTTGGAATCACCGGCATTGCCACAGTACACCTGGGAGACACCAGACCAGCGAGGTGGGCAGACATTGGAACGAATCGTGAGTCGGGAGAACTTGTACTCGTTACAAAGCCTCAGCTGAGCGCACGCATTCTTGGCGTGACGCACCTGACTGCCTTTGACCACCACCGCAGTGCTGCAGGAGCCTGCCGTGTCGTTGGCGCTTTTGGCACGCTCGCACCACTTGTTCTCCGTCACCTTGAAGCTGAATATGCGATCGGGGCCAGAATGCATGAGGCTCGAGGTTGGTGTTTGAACTATTCAGACTGCGAGAAGCCTCGACAAGATCAGGGCGATGCACCTGTGATGAAGCGCAGTGCCAACATTTTTGTGGTAGTTGGCCTGATACATGAGCTGGCCCAGCTCTTTGTAGAGATTCTTGCAAGCAAACTATGGAGCAATGTATTCCAAAGCAGACACATGAAGGGATGGTCGTGACCTTTTTATTGAATGTCGGCTAGATATGCGAGGGACGAAAGCAACGCACATCTGAGCAAGTTTTGCCACCGTGGCCATCGAAAACCGTGAACACGGCAAGACGTCGATCGGAGGTACCAACATACTGCGAAAACGCCATCAAATGTCAGTTTTATGCCGCAGGTCCATCCGCCTGCACGAGTTGAACTACATAAGAGAACAGGAATGCGGCACAAACCTTGGCCTCCTCTTGGGGAGCGTCCGTAAAGAGGTCGAGGATGACATTGCAGCGATCCTCGTTGTCGGGGTGATTGAAACCCAAGTCCGTGGCATGGCCCACAACCATCTCTGGGAAAATCTGAAGTATCGACACCAGTGAATGAGACAGTATGGCGGATCCCAAGCGGCCCAATCAAGGCGAGGACCCAAACAGCCTTGTTCGGCAAATCCGGGCGGCGTGGGGCCTACATCGTTTGCATCTTCGCTCTCGCCGGCTTCAGCGTGGAAGTTTGATGCAGAGGTGTTGCGCTTGAAACTGAAGACTCGACGCATCACACCTTTCTTCTTGGTGGGCTTGCGGGACTAGGTGCGAGCACAGGGCCAAGAGTGAGGAAGTTTCTGATTGGTTCAAGGGCGCATCAACAAGGCGGCTCGACTCAGACGCTTGCCCGAACTTGATAAACAGCAGTGAACCCGTGCCAAGAGCGAAGATCATACCAGGGAAGTTTGGGTGATAGTGTCATTGTCATCGATGTTATCTGAAGCTGCATTGGCCGCAGCCGCTGCCTCGGCAGCCCGCAGGCCCTTTTTGGTGCTGCGCCGGCGAAACATGATGGGCCGTGCTGGGCGGCGACAAGAAGCGTCCGACGGGCAAGCAATTTGCAAAGACAAACACGGATGAACTTGGGCTGCTTGCTCTGGGTGGGTACAATGCGAAGAAATCCAAGGTCATGAGGATAGCACAAGAAGAAAGGACCAGCCGGCTTTGATAATGAGCGAGCACGAGCGCGTGCAATAAAGGAGAAGCGTGCGCGCAGGCGTCGCTGGCAGGCGGCTGTCCTACCTGTCAGCGGCGGCCACAGATGAGCAGCACGCGCCTTGAACCAAGCTGAGGTACACTCACCCCACAAGCCTGCAGCGAGCAAAACTGTTTTCTCCACTGCTCAACCCGCCAAGCGCGCCGACAGGGATCGATGACCACAAGACGACGATCGGTGTCCAAGCGCGCGCGAGCCAGAGCCAGCGCGAGACTGCCACACCAACAGAAAAAAAATTTGAAAGGAACAACTGCAACTTCTATCCTGATAGCGACGAAAACTTCAGGTCGGTGCAAAGGGCAAGTTAAGCATATTTATTACCACATCGACGATAACCGTACCAACTGCGACATCACACCATGTCCTGAGCGCGCTGCTTAGTGATTCTATGAAGGCGTTGGAGTAAGGGGCGTTTCTGCTTGGCTGCACTTTCTTATTTATCAGCTACATTAAGTTACTTAGTTCACCTTATGTAATAGTATTTTACTCAAAATTTTACTTCAAACTCGCTTTGGACAAGGGCAGGAACACTTGGTAACCAAGTCGACCCGGCAGCCCGCGAGAGCAGTGAGTCAATTTTCCTTGCATTGTGGTAAACTGTAGTTTGCCACATTTAGATAGAACTTTGAAAGGAAACGGCGCTGGCGCGAAGTTGCCTCGACCCTCGTCCACGTCCCTCCTCGCCTGACTTTGCCTCCTTTTTATCCCGTCTTTGTTGACACCCTCGCTCGAGCAGAGCGGCTGGGGAGGAGATGGATCACGATAGAGGGGGTGGTTCACCACCGCCAGCCAAGCGTGGTCGGCCAACTCAATCAAAGAAAATATCGGTGCAGATTCTCACCAAAGCCTTTGGCTCCACCAACGTGAAGAGACACCTCAACGCCATTTATGCCCAGGCCACAGCTCAAGCCTTTCCGGGCGGGACAAGCTCACCCGACGTTCAAGCCTTGGCCAAACGCATGATGCTCGCCATGATGGCCAGCGAGATTGATCAACCTGATTGCCTCGAGCGTACCCTGGATAAAATGGCGCGTCTCTCGAGCATAGATCGGACAGAGTTGCGCACATGGATCCTACCGCTTTGGCATGAGATTGCCGGTGATCCCGAACCTGAACCTGAGCCCAACCCGTCAGCCCCGCTAGCCACAGAGGCTGAGACTTATCATGATGTGGCACCTGCGCATCAGGGTGCAAGCCCTGCCCCTGAACATTCCTAAAGCCTTCACCCGACTTATAATGCACGGGCCAACACACTGTCAAGCCGAGCTGCCCTGCCTCCTTTGTCTAGCGAGCGCTGAGCGCCCGTTGTACCAGCAATCACTTGTTCATGCCACTCATTCTGTATTTTTTTTTTTTAAGTCGAAGCTCTAAGCAGCTTGCGGAAATTTACATGACATTGTTAAGAATTGACATGTTAAGCGACTGGTCATGACCACCTGCACCCGCAGCTGAATGGGTGGAGTCTTGCTCTCGAAGAAGAACCCAAAGCAGCCTTTTTGGCTCCATTAAAAAGGTAAATTGGAGAAGGAGAAAAACTCTGTAGCAAAATAAACTACAAGGGCATCAAGGCAAAAGCAGGACGCCCGCCTTGACCTTACAGAAGAGGCAGCATCGACAAACAAACGGCATAAAGAACAGAACGCATGGGGATTAACAGCAGAGACGGCCATGGCTGGCCAGCACCCGGTGCTGAATGAAAATGGAGCAAGGACAACAGACAAAAACCGCGAGCCAGCAACGCCAGCCTACAGCTCGCGAATCTGCTTCATCAGGTATTCCTTCTCATCCACAAACTGCTCGTCCTCGGCACGATCGTTATGGAAATCAGCCAAGAATTCCAGCAAGGCCTCGCGATTCCGTTGCAGGATGCTCAAGATTTCCGGCTCCTTGTTCGGGTTGGCCACAAACACCTTGAACACGTGGAAGGCCTCAAACTGAATGTTGCGGCTCTTGTCGCCCAGCAGTGTCATCATCAGCTTCAGATTGTTCTTGTTGCTAATGTACTTGGTCATGGTCGTAAAGTTGGCGCGGTCCAGGAGCAGCTCACCCAAGAGCTTCAGGCTCTGGCGCTTGGTCACGTAGTTTTCCGACTTGAGCAGTGTATCATAATGCTCCATGAACTTGTCATAGTTGCTCTCCAAGAAGGTCGCCGCCAAAACCTTGTGCTTGGTCATCAAATCCTATCCCCACCAAAGGTGACCACAGAGAGAATAGTGAATGGCTGGAACAGGGCAAATCCTGTGCCTGAGGCGAGATGCGAGCTGCACCTCGGGTCAAGAATTGCAAGGATTGCGAGTCCTTGTCCGTGTGAATACTGCCGTACCTTGAACGAGGAGAAGGCGTCTGACGCCAGATCGAACTGGCTCAGCTGCACATGCTCGAAAAACTTGTAAAAGAGCTCATCGGAATGCATGATGATCTTGGCCAGGGGCTCAAACTTGATGCACTCGCGCAGCATCATACCCGTGCTGAGGGCAATGGCAGGGTCTTCATAGCCCTGGCAGAGCTTCGTCAGAATCTCAGGCTTGACAGTGCAGATATAGTCCACCGTCGGGGTGCGGTCCCCAATCTCACGCTTCAGCAAGCGGTTGAAGATCTGGACCACGTCCTTCTTGCCCTATCATATTCATGCCCACAGGTAGCAAACAAGACCAATGTCAAACTCAAAAATGGAAGCCAACACGTCCATAGCAAGACCGCCCAAGGCGTGAAGGAGCCCAATGGTGATGAAGAGGAAGACTTGGGACCTACCTCAAAATCCATCTGATTGAGGTTGAGAATAAACTCAAAGAGAGCATGATTGGCTTCAACTGCTGCGGCCAGCTGGGCGCAGGCCTCGGTTGATGCAGCTCCTCCATCTAGCATGGTCACCAGCCCGAAAAACATCATGACCAAATAGAGCACCGCCAGTGCCAATGGCAATCGACATGAATGGATGAGTTATGGAGAAATTTACGCCTACACCAGCGAGAAAACCCCCTTGCATACTCGCGTGGTAACGCACCAGCACCAAACAAAATCAGCTTCATCTGCTGCAGTTGCTTATCAAATTCTTCCTGGCGCTGTTGCAAGGCGAAAAAGAGGAAAAAGAGAAGATGAGATTGAGTGAGGTGGCGAGGAAATGGGGCATGACCGTCTGAGCTGCACCTAGCCTAGTCCAAGCCAGGGTGGACGCATGATCAAGAGCAAGCGAACCTTCTTGTTGCCTTCTTGCTTGTCGACGAGCTCAATCGCCTTTTTGACGAGGTCTGCGGCCTTGGGCTACGGCAAGATTCAATACAATAATACGCGATAATGGCCGAGGATAGGGCAAGCCACGAACCCAAGACGCGCTCCTGTCAAACTCTGCTCAACTAAGCATCCCAAAAAAAAAAAGCTCAACATACCATGGTGGCGTTTAGCGTTAAGAAAAGGCGTTGCTAGTGCAGACTGCAGGTTCAACTAGAAGATCACGAGCGAAGGACTGCGTTGAAAATGTGCGTGCAAACGCCCGTGTTCGCTACAAAAAAAAAAAAAAATCACCGCATGATAAGTATGCCGCCAAGACATGAGAAAGAGTGTGCGGGAGAGCCAATGCGCGCCCTGCGCCCACCCCACTCGCAATATTGCTGCTGCCTTTTCAAGCCATCAGCGAGGGTTGCAACACAGGGAGCACTTTTAACCTTGCTCTGCCAGTGGCACGCAAAGAATACACACTGGTCCAAAACATTGGCAAAAGTGCACCCCACCCCCTCTAATCGAAACATGACGAGGAAAGTCCAGACCCATCGTGCCTTGAACAATTCCAAGACAGGCCCACTGCCATTCTGTTCCATACCTCGTCGACTGACTGGCCACCGCAACTGTGTGTGTGTGTGTCGTCACAGAACAAAAGTGGGCGGCGCTACCACTTGGAAGTCTCCGCGCGCATTCCTCTCTCTCTCTCTCTCTCTCTCTCTCTCTCTCTCTCTCTCTCTCTCTCTCTCTCTCTCTCTCTCTCTCTCTCTCTCTCGCTCTCTCTCTCTCTCTCTTTCTCTCTGTCTCTCTCGCTCTCTCTCTCTCTCTCTCTCTCTCTCTCTCTCTCTCTCTCTCTCTCTCTCTCTCTCTCTCAAACTCCTAAACTCTCTCTCTCTCTCTGGATCTGGATCTGGCTGTCTCTCAGCTTAATGAATTCATCTCAACAAACAGACATACAAAAAAATAACAGCAAGCGCTTCGCGCGTCAGGTGGGTCGAGGCAAGGAGAAGCTGAGGCGGTGGGAAGCCATGGGCATTGGAAAAAACACTCAGACAGAAATTTGCTTGTAGCATCCAAGCGAACATATGGGCGCTTGAGTTTCACGATGCCGATAGCGGGAAGATTGACCACACACGGAGCAGGCTGGTGCACTCGTTCGACGCTCTCTACCCGTAGCACAGCAGCAGCAATGGGTATGGGGGTGCCCATATCCACAGCGGTATTGATGAACAGACTTGTTGCATGACATCACTCTGGGGAATCAGAAACAACAAAGTCGGAAAAAAATAGAAATTACAAACAATACGAACCGTGGCGGCGGGAGTGCAGGAAAGGTCGCCTCGTCTTGATAGCTGATGGTCGTCCCCTCGGCTCGGCTCACCATGCGCGTATGCGGGCCAATCACTTGCCGTGCCTACGTGGCGATGCAAGACCAAACGGCGGCAGGGTGACTGCCCATACTGATACGTGTATGATTCCAAGGCGATTGGCAACGGCGCGTTTCGCACCTCTGTTTCTTGCTCGTCCATTACGGCGCGCGAGTGTTTCTGCTGCTTAAGTAGCTTCTCTACGACGGCTCGCTTCTCTTCTTCGGCTCGTTGCGCCACCAGCTGCGTGCGACGACGGTTGGCAGCTTCCCGCAACAGCTGACGTCGCTCCTCTTCCTCACTTGACAGTGACTTGCTTTTCTCTACGCAAAAGTGGCCTCGTGAGGGTCAATCCAAGCCATATTCTGACTCATCTCTCTGGTCCTCTCCGAACATCGGTCAGCCATGAGCAAAAGTCGAAGCGTCCATTCACGCACTGTTCGGGATCTCAACCAGCTCCTCTGTGAACGGATCCTCCTCCTTCAACAGCGCCCGCTGCAAACACACGCACGGTGAGCGGGCTTTTAACGTGAGGCACGCTGGGTACCATCATAATAGCACCATCCAGGCTATCGTGCGCACCCGGCCCCCTCACCTGCCGCGACGTTAGATTGGCATCTGTGGCACGAGGTAGCTCGCCGTTCTCGTCAAGCTCACCGGCCTCGAGCGCAGCCGACCATGCGTCCAGTGGATCCTCGCCGCCGTCTTCCTCTCCATCGTCCTCGTCCTCGCCCTCATCCTCATCTTCATCCTCGTCTTCATCCTCATCCCCTTCGTCGTCCACCTCATTTTCCTCAACCTCGTCGTTTCCCTCCTCCTGGCTCAGATCATCACTCTCCTCAACCTCCACGTTGCCTGATCAAGCAGCCAGCCAAGGTCAGCTCGGTTTCCGTGGCTTACACGTACGCTAGCGGCGCCGCTTACCCATTTCCACGTTTTCCTCAACCTCCTCGTCCTCTTGACTTGAAGCTGGAACGGCTTGTGTGGCTGCCGCACCACTCCGCCTTGAACGTCGCGGCGGCATGAATCTTGTGACACAAGGCGAGCACACGCGCTCAAGTAATCGCCAACAGATTGATAAGGACGTGGAGCATAAAGAAACAAAAAAGGGAAAGAAGTCAGTTCTGGTTTTTTGTCTTCTTTTTGGGGTTTTTTGTTGTTGATTTCGTCATAATTTACTCGGTATATTTGGTAATTTTCTGAGGCGATAGAGCTTGTCCAGCCGTCCGTCGAAGTGCTACTGGGCCTGCACAGGGATGATAACAAACTAATCGGGTTGTTTGGAAAGCTGACCCAAAGTTTCAACCTTAAACGAGAGGGTTGGACATGAAAGAGAGAGTATAGTCTTGTTTTACGTTGCGAGCATCAATTGTGTGTCCAAAGCAGAAAGTTCTATTGTTCATAGACACGGTTGAAGTGCACTCGGCATCTTCACGAGCGACGATGACAGTATCCCTGCCCCCTGCCCAGGACAACTACGTATCCCCTGCGCGCCGAAGACCCAGTCTTGTGGATGCCAGAGACGAGCTCAAGCAAAGGCCTCCAAACACGCTGCCACACACTGCTGATCTTAGCGTGGTCCCTGTAGCATTTTCCCACTACCAGTGTGCTGCTGCACGTCCCAGTTGCGCAGCTTAAAACTTGATCACGCCTCGATAGTGCATGTCACCATTGCGGACCTTGTCAAAGGCGTCGTTGATCTGTCCAGTGAAGCAAAAGGCATCCATGTTGGCGCGCGCATGGAGAAGCAGCAAGATGCTCGTGAGACAAAGGTTGGGCCCGCACTGGCAGCGCTTACGCGGAGAGGTTGCTAGTTTGCGCGACACACTCACTTTGTCAGTCTCAAATACTTCCACCTTGGCGCCAATGCCATGCAAAGCGGCGAATGACAACATCTCCTCGGTCGCCTTGCGTCCACCTGCACAAGAACCCACGATCTGATGGTGTACGTAGTTCAAAAAAAAAAAAAGGTCGAGGTTAGACTGTGCGTGACGCAAGGCGCGTCCTGATCTGAACAAGATTAGATCCCGTGTCAAAAACTCACGTTGAGTTGTTTGAACAACAACTCGCCAAAAATGGCAATCTTCGCTTCCTCCTGCACAGCACCGACAAAGCAGAGAGTGCCCCTACGATATCACGGCACAATGCGGTAAAAAATGAGGTCAGCTATAGCGCCCTGCACAGTAGACAGCTGATCAGGTATCCTACTTGTGACGAAGCAGCTTCAAAAAGCCATTCCAGTCCAGAGGAACGTTGACTGTCACAATCAAAAGGCCCAATTGGTTCTCGAAGCGCTTCATCTCTTCCTTGTTTTCCGTGTTGACAAAATCGTGTGCACCCATGGCCAGCACCTCGTCGCGTTTCTCTGCAACAAACCACCACCCACACGAGGACCGACATCACATTAGAAACAGGGGTTCTCAAGTTTTTGAGCGCTCTTTCAGCTTGCAGACACTTCTGGTTGTATATGTGCGGCACGTACTCTCGGAGTGTGACAAGGCCACAACGCGCGAGCCGCGCGCCCGGGCAAACTTGACAGCCATATGTCCGAGACCACCAACGCCCAGGACGCCAACGGCATCAGAGGGGGCCGAGAACTTGATCAAGGGGCTGTACACTGTAACACCGCCACACATCTATGACAAAGAATCGACCATACAGAAAAGATGGCGGGCGCGTGAGATCCACTGACACAAGAAGCGGTAAAATACAACCACCGAACCGCGATCAAAGTAGCATGCACAACGCTGGGCGTTCAACTCACCAGGGGGCCGACGGTCTCAGAATCAAGGCCATCGGGGATGGGAAAGACACCCGTCTTGTGCCCACGCCATTTGCTGGCCATGCCACCATTCTCCTGGCCAGCACATGTAGTTCGGCCGTTTTGGCACAGCTGTTCGTCACCGTCCTTGCAAAAAGTGCAGTCTCCTGCGAGTGCGCCGCAAGTTGGTGAGTCATTGCCTTGCCGTATGTTCAGTGAGATGATCTGATCGCAACCGAATAGGTAAACCTACCACATGCCTGCTTCCACCAGCCGACGCCAACTCGCATGCCCGGCTTGAACTCGCTCTCGCGAATCGCCGAGCCTACCTGCGTCACTTTGCCAACGACCTCGTGTCCGGGGACCTGCAACACACGGACAACGGTGAGCGTTGGCGGGCCTCAGGTTGCTTCAGTTCGCCTTTTGTCAGGCATCAACCTGACAGGGCTGGCCGGCTGGTCTTACCTTTGGGTACGCACACATTGAACCCCAGTCGCCGTCCACCAGGCTAATGTCAGAATGACAGACACCTAAAACGTCACGCGAAACAGCGTCGCGGTCAGGTCGGTCCAGGGACAGTGTCCTCTTGGGCGGTGATGGGCGGCAGCATGCACAGCACGTACCGCAGTGGGTGACCTCGACTTCAACATACTCGGGCTCAAGCGAGTCAAGTTCAAACTGCGAGCACATCACATGCAGCGTAAGGACAAGATGATTGGAAGCTCGTGCCTTTGAGGCTTGGTCAAATTTTCGTTGTACTGGTCACACCTCGAATTTCTCCAGGCGGCCCTTGGCCTCCTTGGCGGCGTATCCAACAGTTTTTTCTGCCATGGTGGGTCGGTCAGTGCACGGGAATGCAAGACAAGGTGTAGTGAAATGTTCAAAGATGTGTGTCGACGTATCAACGAGTAAAATGCTACTGCCGCGCGCGTTGTGCCAGCTTCTCACCCGCCTCTTTCCTGCTGAGTTGAAGGCTCCGAGGTGCTGGCACATGCCAAGCGAGACGCCCGATCACTTATCGTGTCTCGTTTCTCCTCACGTTGCACCTCTTCTGTAGCCCATCACGGCTTGTCAAAGAATACATGACGGATTGTGCACGACTGCACAAGCGCTACATGTCTGAAGGGCTCCAAGTGCTTCAAAGCCTCCAACACAGGTCAAATCGTGAGCAACGAAGAAGTAAACACACAAAGTGTATGACATCTTTTTTGGACATACTTTTTTTTGGTTGCATTGGGTGTGTGTGTGTGTGTGTGTGTGTGTGTGTGTGTGTGTGCACATTGATCGCCTGCTGGAGCCGCGACGTGTGTGTCATGCGTGCACGTACTTGCGCTGAACGATCGTGATACTCGGCGTCATTATGATGGAGAGGCTGGCAGCTGTTTCAGCTTACCAGTTTTTTTTTTTCTCGGCCTCGTGTGGGTTATCTTCACAAACTCACTCCTCTCTATCATTTCATCGTTTGATCATCAATTCTTCATTCACATGCCGTGGCAATACAATACATGGGCATGCTCCAGGTGGTGGTTGGTTATTTCACATAAATCCGACCGCAAATAAGAAACAAGGTGATCCCAGCAGCCTGCCCATTCTTTACATACACACTGGACACTAAAATCCAAGGCTTTCTTCTTGACAAAGTTGCTGAGAACAAGCTGCTTTAGGCCTCGACCACACTCAGCCGTCGCCCAGACAAGGAAGGATTGCGGGCAAAATCGTAGTCATTGTCATTGTCAATCAGCTGAACTGTCGTCTTGGCCGAAGTCGCCAAGTTGTACGTGCCTTCGCCGCTCATCTGGCTCTCCTGCAGGCGAGGCCTGGACTCGATACGTGAGGTCGAGACGGGCTGGCGCTGGGATGCGAGAGCAAAGTGACCCTTTTTGCGACCCAACGCGGCTGCGTCAGAATGTTTTGAGCCCAAGCGTTTCTTCAAATACAGGTACAAGCCAACAAAGCCCAAGACCTGCACCGCCAAGACAGCTACCACGAGTCCAAAGACCGCAGATACATCACTGTCCCAGGTTTGGCTGAGCGCCGAGGCAGCCGCAAAGGTGGTGGTGGTAGTAGTAGTGGTAACGGTGGTTGCTTCAGTTGTACTTGTGTCCGTGTCAATGACGCTGCTCGTCTCCAAGTACGTATTGCCATCGGCAGAGACGATTGAGAAGTTGCCACCATTCTGTAACGCCTGCTCAAGTAGAAAAACGAGGGCCTCGCTCGAGAGATCCTCCGAGCGACGGCGTCGTGCGGTTGTTGTGCTTGGGGGTAGGAACACCAAGTCTGCGGCCGTCATATTGTTTTCATCCGAGAATCGGGTCACGGCAATGCGCGCACTTGAAATACCCAAGCTGGTTGCGAGCTCGCTTGCAACTTCTGCCGCCAGAGCGATCGACGCCACACTGCTCAGATCTGCGTACGTGTCATTCCATGCGACCGTCAGAACCAATTGGCTAACCGTAACGGATACCGTAGTCGAGTCCTCCGTGGTTGCCTCGTATTCGTACGTCCAGCTAATCTCATCGGCCGCATTCTGCGCCAGGTCCAGCAGGTTGGTTATGGTCACCGTCACGCTGGTACCAGCCAAAGTGGCCGCGGAGAAATGGCGATAGAGCGACAGCGAAAGCGTGTCGCCGGAGCACTTGATGTCGACGTCATTTGTACCAAGCTGTAATAGTCCGTCAATATCCACAGAGAGATAGAAGAGGAAAGGTCGGCTGCACAAAATATCCTCCGTCATCTTGACAGAAATCACATCGCCAGCAGAGAAGACACCGTCCACGGGCTCGGGCTGAGAAAAGATTTCGGGTGCTTCACGATCAATACGACCACTGATGATGGAAGAGAAAACCTCATTGATACCGTCTGGGGGATCCAGACCTGCTGCAGTGCATTCGGCCGCGGTCTGTAGCTCATACTCACCATCAAGCACGCCATCGACTGCCCAGTTGAGGCTACTGTAGCCGTAGTCCGACTCGTCGTACATAAAGTTGAGGATATCCCCACTGGCATTTCGGGCGTACGTCCAGTCCACGTCACCCACGCGACGGTACATGAGGTGGACGCCCTCCAGCCGGGCATTGTCTTCCCAGCGACGGGAGGAAGTCTCAGGATTGGTGAGTGTGATGCGGAAAACCTCAGCATTCTCCTCAATGCTGACAAGGAACGAGCTCTCACGACTCATGGTGCCAGTCCAGTCAACCTGAGAGCAGGGCTGGAGGAATTCGACGGAGAGCGTCACTTCCGAGAACTGCATCAGTTCGTAGGCAGAGTCGTCGCGCCCAAGGAACTCAATGCTCTCGCAGCGCGAGCGGAAGCCCAGGACGACATCAAACGTATAGCGGCTCATGTCGTAGCGCTCAATGGCAATCACTTGCTCATACTGTCCAAGTCCAGGCATCTGCTCGAAGAGCAGTGGCTCAAAGAGGGGATGGCCATCCGCTGCCACAGAGACACCGGTCTCATTGCGAACATAACTGTGGATGGGTCATTGGTAGCAGGAGAGGGCGAAGCTATTAGAAAGGTGCCCCGTGCCGCGTGAAGAATGATTGGCGATGAACGCGAGTGTAGCAAGCCAACTCACAGCTCATAGGTGGCCGACGAGATGGCATCGTTCATGAGATAGACAGTGAAAAAAGCCTTGCTCGAGGGCAATACTGCGCTTGTGGGTTCTCGAGATATCTGAACACGTGGCTACGCAAGGATAATCAAATATTTTTTAGTGCGCGACCGGGCAGTAGACATATGCGAATGCTGTTTGAGCTAGGGTCAAGCGCAAGCCAGTTGGCGATTTATGGGGGATGGGCGGTGGGTATGATTTAAGCTTTTGAATAATTGCTTGCACCAACCTGTTCAAGAGCATAGGTGTTGCTCTCGTGCAAGCATGAGCTTGAGCCCGCCGATGTGTGGAAAACCAAAGTGTTAAAGTATGGATCCCGATAAACCTATTAAGCCGTGTCACCAATCGCTGTGTGAGGAATACCGTGGGCCGTGCACTCTGACAAGCTGTAGACGCTCCGAGAAACAAAACTTTGCTGTTAATATCGCACCTCAACAAGAAATTCGTTGCCCATGTCGCCATCACTGAGCTCAAAGCCCTGACGCTCAGCGGTTTGGGTGCCCCTGGTAGTATGGTTGAGCCTAAAGTTCTGGCCTTGGGCACCAAGATCACCTTCGATGTAGCCGCCTGTGGCACCTTCAAAGTCGTGATCTGCGTGTACAAACGTGCTCCAATCCAGTTGAAATTCGTGTCCAGTAGTTTTTGAGCTTTCTTCCTCGTCGGCAGTCTCATAAGAATACTGTTGATGCGGTATGCATAATTTACACATGGGTGAGAACAAGGGTGCAATCTGTTTGCTCCCTCTTATAACAAAGACCTTGCATGTGCGAGCCACCACTACCCAGTGGAGGGACCCATCCCCCAAGATCATCATATTCAAACTCAAATGACTTCTCACCTTGGCTCCCCCACCCGAGAAGCTGATGGCATTATTTTTCTCCAAAGAGGCTTGCGCATTGGAACTCAAACTCATGTCAAAATCGCGAGCCTGTTGCATCAAGTTGGTTGGCATCAGGTTTGTTTGCGCTGTCAAGTTGCCAGCTGCTGCTTGGGCAGTAATGTTGTCAATGTAGTCGACGATGTCAGTCCAGCCGTCAATGGCTTCAGTGAGCTTCTCAACTTTCGCCAAGGTTTCGTTGATGAGAGCATCATTTGTGGAGCCCTCGGCAATGAGTGCGTCATAGGAAGCCTGGGCGAGGGCCAGGTTGTTTTGAAGCGTGGGGATCTGCGCCACACCCGGCGTAAGATATAAGCGTCAAATGAAAGTGCTCCCAAACTAGGTAAATAGAACGCAGTGCAGGGGAAAACAAAAACAAAAACAGTCGTTTGCATGACCACACCTCTTCAAGCTGTAGAAAGCGATACGTCTTGATCGAGAAGGCCCCTGTAGCACTTCGTGGATTCAAGCTCCACTGTACATCCTGCGATGATGATGCCTCGCAGGTGGTGTAGTTGAACGAAATGGTTCGCACGTCAGCAAACCTGACAACGAGCGAAGGCGTGATGATCAAGTGATCAGACGGCGTGCCCTTGTAATCGCTGGTTTTCAAGCTGAAGGTCGTTGTGAACACTGCAGATCCATCCGCGTTTCTGTCGCCTTTGAGGTCGCTTTCAAGCGTATCAATATGAGTCTGAACACCAACATGCGTCTTATAGTCGGCCCACTGTACACACGCCATAAGTCTGAGCAGGCGTGAAAACACAATCAAAGTGAGATGTAACGGAAGTACACCCAGGACGGTGGGCCAAAGGCGGGCCGCCGTTAACGTACACGCATGTTTCCATACTGGTTCCAAAGCTAAGACCACCAGCCACTTCACTGTAAGCACCAGCAAAAGCTTTGTATTCGCTGTGGGTGATTGTCATGCTGGCTTCGGCGCTTTCATAGTATGCATAGCTCTCTCCACCAGGTGGATCTATAAGAGTCCACGAGTTTTATTTGAAAAACAAACAATCAAAGAAGGCCAGTAAGTCACCACCTCAAAAACTGTGCAAGGCCTTCCTTTTCACCACACATACCATAAACGATGGTCAAGGGAAAGTACTCCGGAAAATCCTATCGTTAGAAGTGCAACACAGACATCCATGGTGCCAGGCTTCTGAGCTTAGGCACGACTGTTGCCGACAAAGGCATTCTTTTGTAATGCGGTGCAAGCACATACCATCGTGAAACGGTCAGAGATGATCTTTGAGCCCAAGACCACCACGGGGATGTACGTTGTTGAGGGTTGATAGACGCTTTGCGTGAAGCTGGCTGAAAAGATTTTGGCATATTTGACACCTTCCTTCTCCCCCGATGATAGCTCCGGCTCGCCTGTCTGAATCTCCAGTTCACCGCGTGCATTGGTGTATGTGTCCGATGTATCGCCATCATCATACAAAAGCTCCAGTTCACACCCGGTGTTGCACACCACGAGGCGGCTATACTCAGCGTCAGTAATGGAACTTTGTGCCAACAAGTTGTCGGCCACAGCAGTTGACTCGCCCAGCAGATTCGTGACGGATAGTGAGCCCTCGACCCAAGTGCAGTCGTCTTGGTCGTTCCAGTACTCTTCATAAACATAAACAGTGACGTTGGAAATCACATCACGATTGATGGTGTGGACATCGCAGCTGCTGGCCAGAGTGCTGCCGATATCGACACTGATCGTGGCAGCTGAGTGATACTCCCAGCGCACAGTCGTATCGTCGCTTGAAAGGTCTGCGTCCTGCGTCAAAGTTCCGGCGGCTTCAAAGTAATTGATCATCATATCTCCAATGTCCGTGTCATCATCAGGCAATGTGCCTGTGTAGGTGACTTCCCACAAAGTGGCAGGCATTTGCAAAGTGGTCTCGTAGCGCACTGGCACCTCCTTCTGAATGGTACATGTTGGCAGCGAAAAGACAAGGGTTGAGGTTCCAAGGGTCCGATTGCACTTGCCACCTGCGACCTGCAAGGTGACATTGCGGGTCGTCACATCGTGAAAGTTGATCGATTCACTGCTGAGCTCATCGAAGGAGATTGAGAAGTAAGAATAGGCAAGCACATCGCCCACAAGGCTCAGGGTGTCAACAGTTCCATCCGGTGTGCGACTACGATCATTAGAAAGGAACTCAAATTCGTGGTCTTCATACTCGACGGTCCCGTATACCACCATGCCGGCTGGAATGGGGGCAACATAGTAGCCAGTGGCGTCCGTGTAGGCACAGACGATAGCGGAATGGGAGTAGTGGCTGTTAAAGCACACGTGGGCATTGTTCATGCCACAACCATCTGGATTCGAGTCAGACTCGGTGCCATTAATGTAGACATAGCCATACACCGGCACAGCTGAGACGTCAGTAAAGTCAGCTTCGGTATTGAAGGTCAGCCACTCGACCAGAAAGGTGCGAGAAGTGCATGGCAACCCATCGCATTCGTAAGTATGATTGACTGCTTCAGACTGCTTAGAGACAGAAATGTTCATTTGCTCGTATTTCTGACTCAAAAGGTCAGTCTGGATGTAAATCTCGTATTGACCGTTTGAGTCGGTGGTGGTGGTGCCAGAGAGAACGCCACCCAGTGTCCATTCAATCGTGGTGTCAGCAACAGGCACACTCTCAAATTCATCGTTGCCAATGTTCACAGACCCCTTTACCATGGCTTCCTATTGCGCATGCAGTCACATTCCTAGAGGTCAGTTGCAGGTTGGCTCAAAGTGCAATATTGGCATGGACGACGCACCCATTTGATCTTAAAGTCGATGCAAGTCTGCGAGGACTCGTAGCGACTATCCAATTGCTGGTTGTCGGCCCACACGACCGTCGTGCGCGAGTAAGCGGATATGCAGTACGAATAGGCAGAACCGACATCAACTTCGGGAGAAATGACAGCATCGTCGTAAATGGTTTCTGGGTGATGTGTCGTGCCACAAGCCGAGCTCGATGCGACGTCATCTAGGCACGTGCATAAACAAAAGAACAAGCAGCAGTGTCACAAAACTGATTTCTCTAGTCAATGTATTCACATTTCCAGCCCAGCATCGTTCAAGCTAGTTCTGTTACCGTACAGGAAGAAGTAAAGGTGTTGGTGTCGCGACGCATGATGAAACCGTCTTCACAGTAGCTCTATCAAACGGACCAAGCCCGCGTACCATGACAATATAAGACCCATCAATGCGACGCTGACCCTTTCAGGCTCAACCGGGAGAAACCTGAGGCAGCCACTCACCTCGTCAGTCCATTGGAAGAAGATTTTGCCCATGTGCTGGGTGGCACTGACGTCGATGGGGGGTCCTGTGGTGTCGGATTGATCGCACCCGCAGGTGGTCTGCACAATATTGAACTCGGCGGCCTCATCCTCATACTCTGACGCATCCTTGTCCTGGGACTCGACCTTAAGATAGTAGTACTGGCCTGAAATAAACGGGAGAAAACCGTGTTAGCGCGAATCCAGGTGGCACAGAGTTGCACTTGTGGCCTACAAGTCAGCGTTCGGTACCTGACCTGGCACGAGGTTGGCAAACGTGTGGTCTGAAATGTCAGCGTAGCCACTACCGCTGGTATCAGCGGAAACCTCCAGGGGATAGCCCACAGCGTCATCATACGCATCTGAGGGCCAAGCGTAAGCACGGGAGAGCATCGTGAGTGTGCATGCATGGAGATTTTGCTTTGGAGCTACAGATCAGTAACGCAAAAACCAAAGCATTCTTACATTCGCGGTCTCGCCACAGGCCCAAAGTAACGCGGAACTTGGCCCATCGTTGAGCTGAGTTATCGATCTTAATGGTTATATTTTTGGCGTAAGCCTCATAGGTCACGGAGAAAGCGGGTTGATCAATGCATTCGGTAGCACCCGTCGTCGTGACGTAGGTTCCATCTGGACACGTCTGACAAGATGACTGCGCCGTCTATGGCGTTGCAAAATATCCATGATGCCATGAGTTGTTGGCCAGCACAAGCTGTTTTGAAGTCCTGCGGAAGCCGAAGGGAAACGCTATCTTACCGAATCTTGATATTTTCCTGGCCAAGGCGAGGACTGGCAACTTTTGCAAGAATTCGCCGTGTTAACATCTGAATACTTGCCCACTGGACAGGCCTTGCGGGTAGTGCGATCAGAGTCAGATACATAGTAGCCCGTACTATAGTTCAAAAGTATCAACATAAGTTGATCGCGTTTGATGAGCGATGCAGATGATGGAAGGAAGGATGTTGTCAGCACGCCCTCCTTTCCCTTACCCGGCCTGCTTGCAAGAACTTTGGCCTGTCTGGTCAGTGTATGTGCCGCTCGAGCACGACGTGCAGGCAGTATTGCCAGTGCCCGACGCATATTTGCCTACGCAGAAATGCATTGGTTTAATTAGCAAAAGAATGTTTGCAACATGCTTGGATAGCGATGTGCGCAGGGATGAGAGGCGCCCACCTTGAGCACACGAGGAACAACTCGTCTGTCCACTGCTAGATTGGGCTTTGCCGGCCGTGCAGGCAACACACACGCCATCCACTGTGTCACCAGACTGATAGTATCCAGCGTTGCACGAGGTACCTCCGTCGCAACCACAGTTTTGATCACACCCCGAGTCACAACTGCTATCGCAGTTTACCGAGCCGCCGCAATTACTACATTGTGGTTCACAAGTCAAGCCAGCATTGCAGTAAGCAAAGTCAAATCATGACGAATCATACCAGTTTGATACTATTATTTAGCTACCAACCTGTCACATCCGTTATCACAGCTGTCACGTTGTCGTCGATTCAGTGTCAGATGGCGGGGGGTTCGTATGTGCGGAGAGGCAACAGACATGAGGCGTAAAGATTAAGTCTCAACCCTTCGAGTCAAGCGCCGAACGCTGCAAACCACGTCGGAAACGCAACGTACCTGCCATCACAATCGCAGCCAGAGGAGGAACATGTGCCGGCGGACGAGCAAGGCGCAACCCAACTCGTGCCACGACGACTGCGTTCCATGCCCATCGCCGTGTCGCGGACACTGGAGACACGCTCAACGAGCTCATTGCCCGCACACTGCAACAGAGCGCCAAGATTTTGGCGAAGTTTTTGACGGGGCCAGTAGAGACCAGAGCGATCACCCAGACTGCGTTGCAGCTGCTCAAAGCGAATACCACTGAGTGCCGAAAGAAGCGAGTACGACGCTTCACCCATAATCAGCGGGCTCAGGCTGGCGCAGAGCTGTTCGCGCCAAGTAGCCAGGCCCGGCACAGCCAGCTCGTGCCAAATGAGGCCCTCAGGCGTCTGACCAACGGCATTGGCGAGTGCCTCATACTGATGGCAGACGTAACTGGGGAGGGTAGTGCGCTGGCACTGGGCAGTGAGAACGTCGAGCCAGGTGCGGCCCGTGCGGGAGAGACCGATGGTGAGATGGGCAGAGGGGGTATCGGTGGTGACGGCGTAGTGGATGACGCCCTTGGGGAGGTACATGCTGTCGCCTTGGTGGAGGGTGACGTTGCGGCAGATCATGGGCTGGAGCATGGACATGGTGTAGGTGGTGCAGCCGTCGAGGTGGCTGCGTTTGATCTCCTGGAGCTGGGCACGGTCGGCTTCTGAGAGGGAGACGGTGGCGTTGTCTGTCTGGGGGAGGCAGAGGGTCCAGTGTTTTTGGTTTGCCACCTGGACCACGACGACGTCGTATGGATCCGTGTGGGGCTATCGAGAAGGACAGAGGGACAGAGGGACAGAGGGACAGTGAAGTAGGAGGTCGTGTGAGCAGAGAGGTGGATGAGCATGCGTTTCCGTGTGTCAAAGCGGTGAGAGGCAAGGCACGGCAAGGCAAGGTGGGGAAGCATGGGCGGTACCTCGAGGGTCTGGGCGTTGGCAGGAGTAAAGTAGGCGTGAACGGTGGCATCGATGCCGAGTTCGGATTCGATGAGGGACTCGAGGGCCGATGGCTGGGCCTTGCGGTCAAACTCACGCTTGTAGACGACGCTGGTCACATCGCTCATGTTCTGAAGCTCGGCCCAGCTTGGCGTCGTTGAATACTTTTGGTTCAAACGCATCGCCTTGATGGCATTGGGGAAGCCGGCGGCCTGGCGATAGATGGAACCAAAGGCTTCGAGGCTCGCCATGTGTTGAGCGAGGGGTTCGGTCTCGCGCAGCTGGGTGAGAAAGGCATCGGCATCGGACCCGGAGCGGGAGACGACGCGTGTCTGTGTCTGGAAGGTTCGTTCGATCTGGCGGGAGTTCATGGGTTGGAGGACTGTCACAAGACCATCGTTTCCTTGGGCTGTGGGGCTGAGGCAGAGCAGGTAGAAAAGTAGGGCGAGGGCAGGCAAGCGAGTGTACAGCCGCTTCTGCACCGGCCTCGCCTCACCCACGGTTGGCGTGGGCGTCATCTCGGCGGCGGCAATGCTCGACAGTAGCAGTGGTAGTGCTTCAATTCCAAAGGTCAGCGGGTGGATCGACCAGAGTGAAAGAAAAAAAAAATGAAGCATTCACACACCCCAGCTCGAGAGACTGCATGGATTCAATCTCAACAGGAGGGGGGCGAGAGGAGCCGAGAGGAGCAAAGGCTGTTGTTGTTTACACCCAGTTTTTTTTTTTTTCCGTCCTGAAATTGGGACCAAAGGAGTTGGGAAAAGGGGTGTGTTTGAGCATCAGGGGTACTTGGACTGATTGGGACCGTTCGTCCAAATGCTCCGCTCCATCCGCTCCGTCCGCTGTTGGAGTTTCACGAGTTCGGAAGAGGGAGAGGAAAGAGGGAGAGGGAAGTGGGAGAGGGAAGTGGGAAAGGGAAGGAGGGAAGGAGGGGACTGTTGTGTGGTTTGTCTGAACCCGCTGTTGCTTTGTTTTCGTCTCACTGCGACTTTGCCTGAGCGGCAGGGGCTGACGCACCACCATACTTCGGACGTGGTTGGGTTGACTTTTTGTAGGTTGGGACACTATCATCACGTCTGTCGTGACAAAAACCAGCACGTGAAGAATGAATGACATGCACTTGTACAACGAAATTTCAAATTTTTTTCTACTTCACTTGTTTTTGAGAACTACAACAACAAAGAACAAAACAAAACCTGACAGGGTGTAAGGTGCGTGATGGTGTGGAAAGGACTGCTACTTCAAGGCTAAGTTGGCGAGACAACAATGGGTTGTGGTGGTCAGGTTTGACACCTAATTCATTGTGAGGTCAACACAACAGTCTTACACGTTTCGATGCGTCGGGCGGTGCGTATGTGCCGTTCGCTTGCCTCTTGCTTCTCTCACCTACTTTTCGATGCCACCCAACCTATCTGGCCTGATGCTTGCTACAAACACCTTGTTTATCACGCGCACCGATCTGTGCTCAAGCTCGTCTCCCAACTTTTTTCATGTATCGATACATATGCAGCTCTAGAGGAGGGTGATAGCACATTCATTTGCCATTTGCAAATTTGTGTTACCAAAGCACACCCTTTTATTGCTACAACAAGGGAAGGATTTGTGATGACGAAAAAGGGGCTCTTTGCTTTGAATTGCGCCGACTGAAAAAGCGATGCTTAAAAACATGTCAATTCTTTCATTGACAAGAGCAGAACCGGCAGGGTGGGTGGTAGCTGGCGGCCTTTAATAATTTTCAACATCCCACTAACTCACAAACGTTAAACACTCATGCACAGGCTCAAAATATCAAGGAGCTAGTGAGGTTAGCATGGGCAGAAAGCATGCAAGAACCGACGATCATCAGCATCTACGCCGAGACGACGCTCACTCGTCGCCCGGTTGCAGGCAGAGCATGCTCCTCTTCAACGTCAGATTGAGCAAAGTCTGTCATGGCATCCAAGTCCGTGCTGGTCACGCGACGCTGTCCGTGCGCAGAGTTGCGATAGGCCAGTTCATAAGTTGGGTTTGCCACATCCTGGCGGTTGGCCAGCTCATATGTCGTGTTCACATGGGCGGGAGATTGAGCAAAGCTGTAGTTGCTGTCCTGCTTGCCAGTGCGGGTCGACTTGGCGCTCCCTGCCGAGAACACTTGGAATTGGCGTTGGTGCTTGGAGGAACCCTCCAGATGCGCGCGCTGGCCGCGATACTTGTAGCACCACACCAGGGCCACAATCACCACAAACTGCAACACCATCGTCACAATAGAAACGACAAACGTGGCAGTGACGTCGTCCTTGAGGGCCGAGATGTCCGCCGAAGAGGCCGACGCACTGTTGTCCGAGTCTCCCGTGGGTGTCGCCGTCGTGCTACTCTCCCCATCCGAATCGTCATCAATGATGCTGCTGGTTTCCAGGTAAGTATTGCCATCAACGGACACAACGGAAAAATTGCCACCGTTCTGCAGTGCTTGCTCAAGGAGGTACACCAAGACCTCGCTTGACTGCTCCGAGTTGTCGCGACGACGCGCAGAAGCTGCTGCCGTGAAGAGCAAGCTGACGGCCGTTCGGTTGTCAGCCTCCTCGGAGAAGCGCTGAACAGAGATGCGGGAGGTCGCCACGCCGAGGATACTGGCCAGTTCCGAGGCGATGCGTGCGGCCAGCGCCTGTGCCTCCTCGCTGTTGATGTCCGCGTAGGCCTCGTCCCACGTCACCGTCAGGACCAGGTCGTTGATGGCTACCGACACACTGGACGTGGTCGTCGGGGCCTCGTACTCGTACGTCCAGCTAATCTCACTGGCTGCGTTCTGCGCCAGATCCAGCACGCCCGTGATGACAACCGTCACACTCGAGCCAGCCAAGGTGGCCGAGGAGAAGTGGCGATAGAGCGACAGTGACAGCGTGTCGCCGCTGCACTCAATGTCAATGTCGTTGGTACCTAGCTCGAAAAGCCCCTCAACAGTCACGGCCACATAAAAAGGGAAGGGGCGGCTGCACACAATATCCTCAGTCATCTTCACTGAGATCACATCGCCAGCAGAGAAGACACCGTCCACGGGCTCGGGCTGAGAAAAGACGCCTGGCGCCTCCCGATCAATGCGGCCACTGATCGTACTAGAAAACACCTCATTGATGCCATCCGGCGGATCCAGGCCCGCCGCAGTGCACTCGCTCACTGCCATCAGCTCGTACTCCCCGTCCAGAACACCATCGGTATTCCATTCAAGGGTGCTATAACCGTAGTCCGACTCGCCGTACATAAAGTTGAGAATGTCCCCGCTGGCGTTGCGGGCGTACGCCCAGTCCACGTCACCCACACGACGGTACATGAGATGCACGCCCTCCAGGCGGCCATTGTCTTCCCAGCGGCGAGAGGATGTCTCAGGGTTGGCCAGGGTAACGCGGAAGATCTCGGCATTCTCCTCAATGTTGACAAGGAACGAGCGCTCGCGACTCATGGTGCCAGTCCAGTCAACCTGGGAGCAGGGCTGGAGAAACTCAACGGAGAGCGTCACTTCCGAGGACTGCAGCTCAGCCAAGGCAGCATCGTCGCCACCCACAAACTCAATGCTCTCGCAGCGCGACCGGTAGCCCAGAATCACGTTGAAGGTGTAGCGGCTCATGTCATAGCGTTTCACGGCAATCACTTGCTCGTACTGCGACTCACCGGGCATTTGCTCAAACACAATGGGCTGAACGAGACGATGGCCATCTGCCGTGACGGACACACCCGTCTCGTCACGAATATACCTACATTACCGAACACAGGAGACGAGGTGACGGGCACGCTTTGTCGGAAACTGTTGCGGACGCGGTCAAACAACAACAACAACAACAACAACAACAACAACAACAACAACAACAACAACAACAACAACAACAACAACAACAGCAACAACAACAACAACAATCATCATTCTTCAGCACTCAAAGGCGTAAACAGAACACTCACAGCTCATAAGAGGCAGAGCCAATGGCATCGTTGAGCAACAGGACGGTGAAATAGGCTTCGGCATCCGGGAAAACCTCCCCAGCCGGCGTGCGCGTCACAAGCAATCGTGGCTAAAGGGGAAATGAAAAGACAAACAACGTGAAACTGCCGCTTCACTGCAATAGCCCCATCGGTGTCGTGCCCCAGAGGCACACGAGCTGTACACTCTAGGGGAGGGCACGAAATGCAACGCACCTGCTGCAAGGCATATGTATTGTCCTCGTGAAGGCACGAGCTGGAACCAGCAATCGTGGCAAACACCATGGTGTTGAAATAGGGGTCACGATAGACCTAAAAGGTGACCCCATGCAAAGCACAACAAGAATGCCATTGCCACCCACATCTTGGTGAGCCGTGACACGCCGCGTTGCAAGTGGTGTTGCGCACTTTGCACAGTGGTGTGCAAGGTCTCACCTGCACCAGGAATTCATCACCCATGTCTGGATCACTCAGCTCAAAGCCAAAGGTGGCGGTGGTACTCGAGCCATTCGTTGTTGTGTCCTGGTCGTTGATTTCACCCTCGCCACCCACGTCTGCACCCACATAGCCGCCAATGACAGTGGCGGAGAAGTCGTGGTCACCAACAATGCGCGCGTTCCAGTCGAGGTGATAAAAGTCGCCGCTGGTAGACGTTGCTTCTTGCTCACGAGTGCTCTCGTAACGATACTAAAGCCCAGGCCGACATCAAACCACACAGTCACATTGATGAGAAGGGAAAATACAGCTGTCACACCCGGTAAGGGCGGGAGGCAGGAGGCGGAGGGCAGAGGGCGGAGGGCGCGAGGCGCGTGGATGCTTCTGTACCTTCAGGCCACCACCGCTAAAGCTGATGGCATCATTGACCTCGAGATTGGCTTCCGCATCCTCGACCTTGTTCAGGTCAAAGTCCATGGCATTGGCCATGAGCTTGGAGGGCATCAAATGTGTCTGGCGGGTCAGGTTACCGGCCTCGGCCTGGGCAGTCATGGTGTCAATGTAATCCAAGATCGACTGCCACCCGTCAATGCCCTCGTTGATCTTGCTGATCTTGGTCAATGTCTCGTTCTGAGAAGCAACATTGTCTGGCTGAGTTTCCAGGAGCTCTTCATACTCTGCCTCGTAGTAGGCCAGGTTCTTTCTCAACGTCGGCAGCTGTGTACGCAGTCAGAACCAAACACAACACAGTATGAGAACCCTGCATGGGCGATACACAAGGTGGGGCAAAACCAAACAGGAGGCGCATCCTCTCAGCACAAGCTCTCAGCACAAGCCGCCACAGAAACACCCACCCACCTCCTCAATCTCAATAAACTTGTACGACTTGATGGAGAAGGCGCCAATCTCGTTGGCCTTGTCCAGGGTCCACTGGATCTCCGTATCCACGTTTGACTCGCAGGACGTAAAGTTGAAGGAGACCACGCGGACCTCGGCAAACTTGACAACGAGGGAAGGTACGACAACCAGGTGGTCCGAGGGCGTCCCAGAATAGTCGCTGGTTTCCAACGTGAAGGTTGTCGTCACTTGCAGGGACCCGTCCTTGTTGCCGCTCGTCTTGATCTTGCCCTCCAAAGAGTTGATGTCCGCAGCAACACCCAAGTGTGAATGGTAGTCAATCGTCTCGACGCATGCCACCAAAGCACACGACTCCATCACCGTTCCAAAGCTCAGACCGCCTTCAATATGGCTGTAAGCTCCGGCAAAGGATGCATATTCCTTATGGGTCAAGGATAGTGAAGACTCGGCTGCCTCATACCATGCGTAGCTCGCGCCACCCGGAGGATCTAGCAAGGCACCAATTCATCACGGATCAGGATGGCAGTTCCAAGCGCAGTGGCGAAGCAACATTAAGTCGGATAGACCACGTACCGTAGACGATGGATAGGGGAAAGTATTGGGGAAAGTCCTAAGCCGTGTTGCAAGACAAAGCAAGGCAAGGCAAGACAAGACAAGACAAGGCAAGACAAAGCAAGGTAAGACAAAACCAAAAAAAAAAGGAGGGGCGGGGGGGATCGAGGCAGAGGAACAGCCGGCGTCAGACAGGAACAGCTGCAGCGCATTGAAGAAACCGGGATCATCCATGTGCTAGCAAACCCACAATCCACAACCTACCATCGTAAACTTGTCGCTGAGAACCTTGGCACCAGTCACAACGACAGGTACGGCAAGCGTCGAGTCGATATTGACCGCATGCGAGAAGCGAACGGAAAAGAGTTTGGCATACTTGACACCCTCCACCTCGGCAGTGGTTTCCGGCTCGCCCATTTGAATCTCCATCTCCCCACGAGTAAACTCATACGTATCGGCATTCTCGCCATCGTCGCGCTGCAGCTCCACTTCGCATTCCGTGTTGCAAAGAACCAAGCGATCATACTCCTCTTGCTCAATGGCTTGTTCAGACAAGAGCTCGTCAGCCACAACCGTGGTCTCACCCAGCTGGTTGGTGACGTACAGATTGCCCTCGACCCAGGTGCAGTCGGCCTGGTTGTCCCAGAACTCCTCGTACACCGTTACTGTTACATCGCTGACGACGTCGCGCCCAATGACCTTGGTGTCACAGGAAGAGGTCTTGGTGCCCGAGATGGTGAGCTCGATGGTGGCCTGCGGGTGATACTCCCAGCGGGCGGTTGCTTCTTCGCTCGAGAGGTCCACGTCCTGCACACGCACGCCAGCCGCCTTGTAGTACTTGAACATCATGTCCGTGACGTAGGTATTGTCAAAGGCCACGGTGGAATCGTACGAGGCAATCCAGTTGATGGCCGGAACCTCCTGGACGCTCTCATATAGAACCTCATAGGTCAGTTCGATGTCGCAGGTCGCGTGCGTGAAGACAATGGTGCTCGTGCCCAGTGTGCGGTTGCACTTGCCACCCGCCACCTGCAACGTGACGTTGCGCTTGGTCACATCTTGAAAGTTGATGTCGTTGCCGTTGACAACGTCAAAGTCCACGTAAAAATACGAGTAGTTGAGCGTGTTGCCCATGCTGTCAACGACGACTTCGCTGCCCTCTGGAGTCAGGCTGCGAGAGTTGTTCATCAGCTCATACTCATGGTCCTCATACTCGACTGTGCCATAAACAGTCAACCCTTCGGGCACTGCCACAACGTAGTAGCCCGTAACGTCAGTGTAGGAGCAAGCAATGGTGCCGTGGGTGTGGCGGCTGTTGAAGCACACGCGGTGGTCTTGCAGACCACAGCCGTCTGGGCTGGCCGTGGTGATTGTGCCGTCAGCGTAGACGTAGCCCGTCAGCGGGACGCTCGAGGTGTCCTCAAACTCAATCTTGTTCTCAAAGGTCAACCACTCCACAAGGAAGGTGCGCGAGGTGCAAGAGATGCCGTCGCATTCGTACGTGTGCTCGATGCCCTCAGAGGTCTTGGCCACGGACACAATCATTTCTTCAAACTGGTTGGTGAGGAGATCTGTCAGAATGTAAACCTCAAACTCGCCGTTGGCGTCTGTTGTTGTCGTGCCTGACAACGTCCCCCCTCCAATGCTCCATGACACGTTGGTGTCGGCCACGGGAACCTTTGAAAACTCGTCGTTGCCCAACGCAACCTGACCTGTCACCTTGGCCTCCTGAGAAAGCCGGGAGAGCAGAAAAGAAAAAAAGAAAGAGAAAGAAAAAAAAAAAAACGGAATACGAACAGAGACACCACCAAGTCAGTGTTGAAACGGCCCTGCTTCATGAAGACAAGCCAGTCGGCGCGAGCGCAGCAAACACTCACCCATTGCACCTGATAGTCGGCACAGGCCTCGCTCGACTCATAGCGGCTATCCAGATCTTGGTCGTCGGCCCAGATCACCGTGGTACTCGAGTACGCGGAAACACAGTATGAATACGCTTGGCCAACATCAACCTCGGGTGAGATGATAATGTCGTCAAATACCGTTTCCGGTTCGTGTAGCAAACCACATGCCGTGCTGGAGGCCACGTCGTCTAAGGCACCCGACAGCCAATGGCATAGCAATGTGTTGGGTTAGATGCCTATCATGGTAGTGGCCACCCGACAAGGAAAGGAACAAGGCGGGAGCTACTCACAGGAGGAAGTGAATGTGGTACCATCGCGGCGCAGAATGAACCCATCTTCACAGTAGCTCTAACAAACAAGTTAAAAGCAACAACAACAACAACCCATGCAAAGGTTAGTATATACTACCAACCCAGGTACGGCAATCAACTCCAAGTCGCAAGCTTTCCGAGATGTCAACCAGACCTGATCCTCCCAAGAGAAGAAGAGCTTGCCCATGTACTGCTCAACGGCCATGTTGACTGGCGGTCCACTCGTGTCTGTCTCTTGGCAGCCGCAATTGGTTTGGACAATGTTGAACTCGGCGTATTCATCTTCATACTCATTGTTGTCCTTGTCCATGGCCTCAATCTTCAGATAGTAGTATTGGCCTGCGCAGAACATTTGCAAAACAAGGGTAAGGAAGGAAAGGTTGGGAACAAAGATTTGACGAAGCGAGCGCGATCACATCGGAGTAAGTTGCCGCGACGCAACGCCCAAGCGCACCTGGAATCAGGTACGAGAGCGTATGGGATGAGACAGAGTCATAGGAGCCGCTTGTCTTGGAGGCATCCACTTCAATGGGATAGCCCGAGGCATCGTCATAAGCATCTAAGCATCCCCACGACATTTGCGCAGTATCGGTATGTCAGCAAAGAGGTCATCGGAGCAAGCAGTGCCTGGCACGCATTCCCATCAGTAAACCCACATTCACGTGAGCGCCAAAGGCCCAGGCTGATGCGGAACTGGCCCCAGCGGCCAGCAGAGTTGCCCACGTTGATGGTAATACTCTTGGCCGCGGCCGAGTACGAGGCAGTCAAATCAGGCTGGTCGATGCAACTCGTGGCTGAGTTTGATGTGACGTATTTGCCGTCAGGGCAAGCCTTGCAGCTGCTCTGTTTTGCCTGATTCTGGTACTCGCCAGGCCACGGCGAGGACTGGCAACTCTTGCATGAGTTAGCCGTGGAAGTATCAGAATACTTTCCGGCCGCGCACTGCAGGCGGCGCGTGTGGTCTGAATCCTTGACATAGTATCCGGTGCTACGTCAAGGGATTAGGCCGTGGTGAGTGGTGGCTGATAAATGCTCATGCGCACAGTTGTATAGGAATAATGTTGATGAAAAATTGAACACGACCTACCCGGCGTTCGTACAGCTACTTGAGCCGTCCTGGGTGTTATACTTGCCGCTTGGACAAGTATAGCAAGCGTTGAACCCCTTTCCAGAGTATTTGCCTAATTCAATGGCAAGCATGCAATCAGTCGCAGATGACACGGCGGGCATCTCCTCCATGCGAGGTGGATCAATGTCTGCATTCGCAGAAGCATGCGCTCATACCTTGAGGACAGGAGAAACATGAGGTACCACCGGTACTTGGTTGATACTTTCCAGCAGCACATTCATTGCACTGAGCCTCCGACTGGGCTCCGGAGCGATAGTATCCTCTGTTGCAGGCAACAGTGCCATCACATTCACAGCTTGAGTCGCAGCTCGAATCACAGCCGCTGTCGCAGCTGAGGCCTAAAGTGCAGCCGCTGTATAAACGCAAGAGATGGTGGAGATGAGGGACGAAACGACAGTATCTCATGCCGGAGTTGATCAACAAGGGCAAGCGAGCAGGGGCCTTGGTGCAAGAAATACCTGTCACAACCGCTATCACAGCTATATGGGGCCGAATAGGAAAGGGGGCATCGCAGGTCAGTCAAATAACAACAAGGCAAGGAAACGTTGGCTATAGCCGACAGCAAGCCAGCGGCAATGCAGCGACTTACCTTGAGTCACAATCGCAGCCAGAGGCGGAGCACGTATTCGCCGAAGCACATGGTGCCGTCCAACTTGAGCTGCGACGATCACGCTCAAGACCAATCGCGGCATCGTGATGCACATTGACACGCTCGGCCAACTCTTGGGGTTCACACTGTAACAGAGCACCAAGGTTTTGGCGAAGTTTTTGACGGGGCCAGTAGAGACCAGAGCGATCACCCAGACTGCGTTGCAGCTGCTCAAAGCGAATACCACTGAGTGCCGAAAGAAGCGAGTACGACTCTTCACCCATAATCAGCGGGCTCAGGCTGGCGCAGAGCTGTTCGCGCCAAGCAGCCAGGCCCGGCACAGCCAGCTCGTGCCAAATGAGGCCCTCAGGCGTCTGACCAACAGCATTGGCGAGTGCCTCATACTGATGGCAGACGTAGCTGGGGAGGGTAGTGCGCTGGCACTGGGCAGTGAGAACGTCGAGCCAGGTGCGGCCCGTGCGGGAGAGACCGATGGTGAGATGGGCAGAGGGGGTATCGGTGGTGACGGCGTAGTGGATGACGCCCTTGGGGAGGTACATGCTGTCGCCTTGGTGGAGGGTGACGTTGCGGCAGATCATGGGCTGGAGCATGGACATGGTGTAGGTGGTGCAGCCGTCGAGGTGGCTGCGTTTGATCTCTTGGAGCTGGGCGCGGTCGGCTTCTGAGAGGGAGACGGTGGCGTTGTCTGTCTGGGGGAGACAGAGGGTCCAGTGTTTTTGGTTTGCCACCTGGACCACGACGACGTCGTATGGATCCGTGTGGGGCTATCGAGAAGTACAGAGGGACAGAGGGTCAGAGGGTCAGAGGGACAGTGAAGTAGGAGGTCGTGTGAGCAGAGAGGTGGATGAGCATGCGTTTCCGTGTGTCAAAGCGGTGAGAGGCAAGGCACGGCAAGGCAAGGTGGGGAAGCATGGGCGGTACCTCGAGGGTCTGGGCGTTGGCAGGAGTAAAGTAGGCGTGAACGGTGGCATCGATGCCGAGTTCGGATTCGATGAGGGACTCAAGGGCCGATGGCTGGGCCTTGCGGTCAAACTCACGCTTGTAGACGACGCTGGTCACATCGCTCATGTTCTTGAACTCGGCCAGCGTCAGCGGGCTGTGCAAGGTGTCGATGCCGCCATGCTGTGTTGTGCGGATGGCATTGGGAAAGCCAGCAGCTTGAACATAAATGTTTTCAAAGTCCAACAAGCTCGCCATGTGCTGAGCGAGGGGTTCGGTCTCGCGCAGCTGGGTGAGAAAGGCATCGGCATCGGACCCGGAGCGGGAGACGACGCGAGTCTGTGTCTGGAAGATACGTTCAAGCTGATTTGGGGTGATGGGCTGCAAAAGGGTAGCCAAGCCCTCGAGACCATGGGCGGGTCTCAGGCAGAGGCAGAGCAGCAGGAGAACCGCCGAGGCGGCGCACCCGCGAGCCATGGTGGCGGCGGTGTGGGGAGGGACACAGGGCCTTTTGATGTGGGCTGCCAGCAATTGACGGAGCCAATGACTCGCCCGTCTCAACGGCAAAGAGCGACTCGGGTAGGCTGTCAAGGATGTCAAAGATGGTGTTGAACCTTGCTTGCTGGGCAAGTGAAAGAAAAATGAGATGTTGAGCCAACAGTTTGAGATTCATATGTATGCTACCTGAAACCGAGCGCGTGTGTGGTGTGTTGGGGTTGGAATTCCTTGACTATGGTGTTCGCATTGGTACCGTTGGTGTATTGTAGCGGGTTTGGAATGGACAACAAGAAGGAGCGGATCGGATGTGGGAAGACTGCTCGGTTGAGACTAACCGTAGGGGGGAAAGGAAAATTCACATCGAAGGAGGATGCTCGATCAGATCCTGTTTTTGGAGCGCACGAGGACCGAGGAGCGGCAGAGAGCGAGCGCCAGGAGTGAGCACCAGAGATGTCCAACGTGGGCGAATTTTTTGGGGGGATTGGGTGTTTGGGCATCAAGACAAAGGGCGGAGGGAAGGTAACGTGAGTGGCTAGCGCAACTTTTTTGGATTTCTGTCCCCAGCCAAACGGGGTTCGTTACCGCTGTTTTGAAATGTGTCATGTGTTACGGATGTATATTCCCCACTCGATACATAGCCAATCCTATGGCATCGGTTCGTCAGACACGGCCGCGGAGCTTTTGATGCTCGAGCCAACACAGTGAGAAACGTCAGTTTGATGGATTACGTTATCTGACAACCAGTCCTTATAAAATTTTGGTTTTAAAAATTAGGATGTGCATTTTAAAGTTTTAAAAAGTTGTTCATGTTGATGTTTTTTTTGTTTTTGTTCTTTTGTCGACGGTCTGTCAGTGAGTTGATCTTTTTTTTTTCAACATCATCATGAGAATGGCGCTTCATCAACACTGGAGCTGGCTGCTCATGGTTGGACTGGCCAGCAGCGTGTGCTGGGCCGAACCCGTGAAGGTACGTGAGAGCAGGCGTTGTGGAAAAGTTGGTCCTCTACGAATCGCTTTGGGCACTATTATGGTCTTCCCATCTTACTCACACAAGACTGTTTCAGGTGATTTTGGACACAGACATGTCGACTGATTGCGATGATGTGGCAGCGACCTGCATCCTGAATCAGATGCATGCCGATGGCGAGGTGAGAGCACCAAAAGTGTTGACGTTTGACCTGTTCATGCACATCAACACTCAATCTTGGTACACGCCACTCATCACGGCATCGGATTAGGTCGAGATTCTGGCCATCGTTCACAACACTGGTCTCTATCAGGGTATTGGCGCCGTATCCGTGCTCAATACGTTCTATAACCACTCAAAGATCCCTCTCGGTGCCTACAAAGGCACCTTTGATGCCAACGCCACGGGCCAAGGCGGCGCCAACAAGACAGGCGCGTACGTGGCGGATCTTGTCGAGCACTTTCCCTCGCCCATCAAAAATTACGACCAGGTTTGTGTCCGGGTTCACTTTTTTACCTTCATCGCTTAACTTTCCGCATCCTGCATGATCGCATTTTGTTTCACTGTTGCTTGCAGGTTCCCGCTGCGCTGAGTGTGTACCGACAACAACTCGCAGCAGCGGTATGGCCGACGCCTCTGCATCTTCTAATCATCAAGGATGTCTCATTCGTGCTGAGTAAACATGCACAGCATATTTGCCTTTCACCCCGCTTGCTGATTCTCAATTGTTAGGCTAACAACAGCGTGACCATTGTATCCATTGGCTTTATGACCAACTTGGCGGATCTCATCAATTCAACAGCCGACGAGCACAGCCCTTTGTCGGGCATCGAGCTCGTCAGCGCAAAGGTGTGCGCACTGAGGCTCCTCTTGGAGCTTGATCGGAAACCATGTGGGCCTGTTCGCACTTATTTTCTTTACCATAGGTCAAACACTTTGCTGTCATGGGGGGCAATTACCTACACTATTCCACTCATCCAGAGTGGAACTTTGGCCACAACAACATTGGCGTGAAAACCAAGTTTGTGATTGAGCACTGGCCATCTCACATCCCAATCACCTATTTGGGGAGTTTCGTGGGTCAAGAGGTATGGACTTGCGGCTAGAGCAGCACTGGTGCCATTGTCACAGATCAGCTGTTTTTCTCACGACTACCTTGGCTCATGTTTGCTCCCCTCTATCTCCAACGTTGCTGTTCCTGCCCCTGATTCATTTTGATTTTCAGGTTGTCACTGGTGCTGCCATGACAAACCAACTCCCGACTACCAATCCGTGTCGTCAAGCCTACGTTGATTTCAACGTACGTTCTTTGTTAGCAAGCGTGCTATTGCTACATAGCCTTCCCCTCGATGTACTTGTAAAGATTAGCGAACCCTTGCTGAGTTGACCATTAATATTATGCGTGCGTGTGTGTGTATGTGTGTGTGTGTGTCTGTGTGTGTGTGTGTCTGTGTGTGTGTCTGTGTGTCTGTGTCTGTGTGTCTGTGTGTCTGTGTGTCTGTGTGTCTGTGTGTCTGTGTGTCTGTGTGTCTGTGTGTCTGTGTGTCTGTGTGTCTGTGTCTGTGTCTGTGTCTGTGTTTGTGTGACCCTACAGGGCCCCTCGAATGGGCGTTTTAGTTGGGACCCAATGACCACCCTCTTGGCCGTACGCGGTATTGATCAATTTTACGATAGCGTTCGTGGCTGGAACGAGGTGGTAAGTGTCAACTTTTCAGGGCTTTTTAACATGCTTTCTCCTGACAGCGCTCTTGCATTGATCTATAGTTGACCAACGGCACCAATGTATTCCACAATCAAACGGGCACCAACCAAGCATACGTTGTACGTGTATGATTTGGGTGTATGTGTGTTGCACGCTTGTTGTGTGGTGATGTTCGTCCCACCTGATGCTCATGTTTCACGACTTTGTAATTGCAGGCCATAAAAGGAGACCCACAACAAATCGCCAACGCCATCGACAACCTGCTTCTCAAAAGTGAAGCGCAGAATGCTCAGGCATAGTTGTTGCCATTTTTTATAAATTACCAAGTTTTTGAGTGAATGCTTTAGTTGTGTGCCATCATGATCGATTAACAAGTTATGCATGGAGTCATCATAGTTGCTCTTGTTTACTTTCATTTAAGCCTAAGTCTTGAATGTCTTTTGACGCTTCATTTGATTCCGGTGTCTTGAGCAAAAGTCCTCATGCTGAAGCACACGACGTTGATCTTCCAGAGAACGCTCAAGCGCGTCAAGTCGTTCCTCCATCATTCCCCGAAACCAGACCTGAAGCTGGCGTTGGCGCTTGTCGATTACGCTTGAGAGTGGGGCCACAACCTCTATGGAGGATGCCAGCTCGTCCCACGCCTCTAGGAGCAATATTGGGGCTTCAAATAAATCGCTCGGAAACCGAACACCTAAGTCTAATTGCGCTACAACAGGGATGGCTCCCGCTTCAATGGCCTCATAAAAGCAGGTCCAATCAAGCTCATGCTCCTACGTGTCGCAAAGAGTTTTAGAAGCAAAGCGAAGCCTTGTCAGTTCAAAAGCACCAATTCCATCTCAGGCAAAACTGCACAATTTAATAGCTACGCGTACCAAAGGGCAGATAGTGAAAGAGGATGCCAGCATGATGCGTGCCGTGGCCGCCGTCGTCAGGCCATCGCTCGCATCAAGATCGTCCTTATTGAGTGGAACGAGGCTTTGCTCGTAAACCTGCACGACATGATGAGTCCATCTTAGTTGAAGCCTTGCATCGACTTCAACTTTGCTTCGCGGCACGCCGCTGCAGACAAAGATAGAAACACACCTTTCCAGGAAACAGTTGAGACACGTGTTGCAACGCAGCACGGATAGTCGAGCGCAAGACCGAGGGACAATTGACGCTTAAACTGACGACGTATTGGCTGATAAAAGGAAAAAAGGGGGGACACGGTTAGAGTGGGAGACCGACAAAAAATACAAATAGAAAGTGCATAGTTGCACACTGGAATTTAGCATGTTTGCTGTTGTGCGTACCGCGTGCTTGCTGGCAAGACTTGATCAGGAGCGATGGACGGGAAAGTAGCACGCGTGCCAATGGGAAACAGATCATATTCTTGAGCGCTTTCCGGGTGAGTGGCTTGGTGATGCCACTGCGGTAAAAATATTGGCGCGCGCAAAGTGGGAAAAAGCGAGGGATTCATTTGTTCACCAAAAATCAAGAGTGCAGTGCGTCCCGGAATTCTCTGTGCCGCTTGTGCAAGGTCTTCAACTGCCACCAGCATGACTTTGAAGCCAGGATTGTCCATGCAGACTTCTTTAAACCATTTTGTGTCGTCAAGGCTTGCAATGCTGGTGAGCTGCTGCTCGGTGTAAGAGTACGAGCGTCGGGATGTGCTTGCGATGGTGCGCATGCTCCAGTCCAACGGCGAGATAGGGGACGCTGAGAAAACGTACAACGTGATGCGGGGTCGTAACGCAGAGTCGATGTGAAGAACTTCCGACCAGAAGTTTCGTCCACCACATGTGGTCTGTGAAAAGCCTGAGCAAGGCTGCAAGCAGACGTTTTGCCTGTGTTGTCCATCTTCATACGCCGAGAAAGCGCGCAAGCAGCCACACTGGTTACCTTTGTTGAGGACGGCAAATTCGAAGCTCTGGTCGGCACAAAAACGCGCGCAGCGAGTTCGCGTCAATTCAGGAAGCACAGTCGGCTGTATATCCACCTTGCTGATTGGCAAATAAAAACAACCAAGCGGTGAGGCTTTGATTCTCAAAGAGCGCACGGCAACAGGCTCCTTTTCTTCTTCTTCACTTTGCTTCGATGAGAATCCTCGACTGAAGCGCGGACGATTGGGCGAAAACTCTTTCGTTTGCGCATCTTCATCTGATCGCGGCACGTGGAAGGCATGGGCATATGGATGCGGCTGTGGCAGGGTGGGTTTTGCAGGAGAAGGCGCCGTTTGTGTTCGTGATGCTGCAGACCCATGCCAGAGCAATAGACTGCAGGCCAGGAGCGCCACTACAAAGAGTGCCACCAGAAATGTGGGAAGGCGAGCCATCGCGCCACTTCCAAGACCGATCTTGGCCAGCAAGCTCACATGGATGGCCGATGGCGCCGTCGTCTGAGAAGAGCGGCCCTCTCAAAGGCGACTATCCGAGCATTTGAACGCAAGAGTAAGAAAGAAGTTATTGGTGTGTGTGTGTGAAAAGTGAAAAGAGCATCTTCAAAAGAAAGCCAAGAAGCACACCAACAATTTCTTGCGTTGTTGTTGTGACCACTTTGACATGTGCATGGACGACAAGAAAAGAAAATCTTGAGGAGATCATGAATCCGACGCGTTAGCCACAAACACGGCCAATTAAAAAACAGAGGCGTGGATAGAGGGCATCAAACGCCTCAAGGCAAAGCCGCTGCAGGTATGCAGACGGAGAACCGACCAATCAAAAAGGCTTGTCAAAATACATCCAAAATACATCCAAAATACATCCAAAATACACACAACGACTGATACGTACGAGGATTGTGGTTGAATTGGCCCTTGTCTAATGAGCGAATTATTCAACCGCCAATACAGGTACAAGCAAGCTTCGCATTCATGCTGCGCGGGTTTTCGATCAGGAGGCAGTCTGGTGTCTCCTTGATATTTGATTGGCAGCATGTCGCACGTCTCCGCAAAGAGCTGTGTGTGTGCGGTCACGAACCAATAACAGAATTCCTACTTCCAAGTACGAAAAACTAAACCCGATGACCATAACAACAATAACGGTAAAGGATTCTACGAAAACTAACTCTATGTTGCTTTGAAAACTACAATAATGGCACAAACAGCGTTGATAACCACGATAAGAACATGAAAGCATTTTGCTGACGAGGCCTTGGCACATCAGTGCCATGGCAGATCATGCTGAGATAAGTTGCTGGAGGCGTCTCGTCTTTCTGGTGTTGCTGCTGACTTTGGGGACTTGGAGGCCGGCGAACGGTAAGCTGGGTTGTCGAGAGCCATTCGTGTCATCTGGCAACCGCACAATCTCACACGCTTCCTCACGTTGGGCAGGACAAATCCAATGGATTCCGTTGCAGCTGGAAGAGGGGTTTGCTGCACGGGCAGGCTACATGCAGCCCGAGTACGCCCTCGACGGTGATCGCGTGTATCTACGTGGTGATATCGAGGTAAATGCGTCTCAGAGCTTTCATCGTCATGCGCCCCAGCGCTGGGCCCAGCTGGGCACGCGCGGTCCCCTGGCGCAGTGGCCCGTGCCCATGCTTGAATGTCATGCCGAACCCACTACACTGCATCGTGTTATAGATTGTCGATGCGACCAAATCCGTCATCACCATTCTGGCCGACCATGCTCCTGAAGCTGCGCTGGCCTTCACCGCTCCGACTTCTGACACCATTTATTCACATCGGTCCGTATCCCAAAGCATGCGAACATGCGGGGGGGAAAGGAAGAAGAAGGATAAACCCAGACGAAACCCAGACTGGGGAAAAAAGTCGTTGATGGCGTCTTTGCATGCAAACATGCCCAGACACAATTGCCCCACCAAAGGTGACTAATCTTCGGAAGCACCACAAACACTCACCTTCACCCTGAATGGATGGCAGTGTGGATGTTCGCGTGAGCGGACAAGTGGCCATCACGGCTCAAGTCCCAGGATCGACCTACTTCTCGCTCAATCGCATCATCTATTCGGTAGCGCCTCAAAACGGTGGAGATAGTGTCAATGGCATGTCAGTTTCCCACAATGTCGCTGGGAAAACGCAGCTGGCAACACCAAGCCATGAACACCGTGCTGATGACTCGACGATGGGGATCTGATGTATCACTAGGTTCCAGACAATGTCCATGGCCACAGACGCATCAGCCAACGGCAACGGGTGGACGGTGCGTTGACCGGTGCCCAACCACAGCTGCTGCGCACTTGCCCGTCCCCCCGCCTTTTTTTTAATTTTTTTTTTTTTTGTTGTTGTTGTGTGCTGTGAGGACGGTGCGGTGGTGTAGCTTACTCACGACCAAGTGCCTGTGCCAAAATGGATGGTCAAACTGGTTGCTGAATGCCTGCAGATACCACAATGCCGCTTGTCAACGGATAACGTTGTCGAGTGTCGAGGCCTCGTTCGCCGCAACTCTCTTGGCACCTTGTTCACCTTGCCGGCAGGTCAGAAAAGCAATGGTGTTGCCCTCCGTCGTATCGCCATTGACCTCGTTGGTACTGACTGCCCATCGCTATTGCTCTGTAGGAATGAGACCCGCCATGGACCTGTCCTTTCCGACCGTATCCCATCAGTCATAC